AATGTGGAGGAAAACAGGTGAGTGCTATTGCTGACATTTGCTTTTATTGTCATTCTTGCTGGTTTTTCACCCTGTTTTCACGCTAATGAGTACCTGTCTGTAACTGATGGGATAAAAACGACAAAGGAAGATTTTATTTTATAATTGTGTTGTCATGAGAAAGAAGAACAAGAGCTTATTAAGAAGAGCCAAGCACGTATACAGATGTAGCCTCTTTTCAGGTATTGTACACATTTAAGCCGCAACAAAGAGTTGATTGAACGCTACATATTTAGTGTACATATCCACACACTATATTAATAGGCACAAGACGTAACAGTGTAAGTAGATAAGTAGAATGTTATTTTGTTTAAAACATGTTTAATACAGAACAAACTGACAAAATAAATTTGATTATTATTAGCAATTTCTCTCCTTTCTCTTTACCTTCTACTTACTCCAACTGCTGCTATATTTTTTTTATCTATCTATCTATCTATCTATCTTGAATCTAAATACATATTGTCACTTTAAAGGGACCCTATAGTCACCCAGACCACTTCAGCTCAATGAAGTGGTCTGGGTGCCAGGTCCCTCAGGTTTTAACCCTTGAGATGCAAACATAGCAGTTTCAGAGAATGTTTACATTTGGGGTTAATCCAGCCTCTAGTGGCTGTCTTCCGGACAGCCACTAGAGGCACATCTGCGACGCTGGAGGCATATTTCACCTCCATCGCGCAGAGCGTCCATTGGAAAGCACTGAGAAATGCTTTCCTATGGACACTTTGAATGCGCGCACGGCACTTGCCGTGCATGCGTATTCTGCTCCAGTGACGTCGAACAGGAGAGCTGATGTCGGACGGGGAGGAAAGGTCACCAGCACCGAGGGAGCCCGGCGCTGGATAAAGGTAAGTGGCTGAAGGGGTTTTAACCCCTTCAGCGCCACAGGAGGGGGACCCTGAGGGTGGGGGCACCCTCAGGGTACTATAGTGTCAGGAAAACCACTTTGTTTTCCTGACACTATAGTGATCCTTTAACATTTGGTTCATTTCTAGTGTAATGCACTAGCAGTATTTATGAAGACTGCTTGTTCAGTTTTTGAATTCTGGATGCAGGTCTTTTAGTGTATAACTATTTTCTTTGTGGTCATTTAAAAGAGAAATGGAAATATAAAATGAAACAAAAAATACAACACTGCTGATTATTAAAGGAACACTCTTGGTACCATAACAACATCATCAAACAATGTGTTATGGTGCCAGATGATCCCAGGTTCTTTCTTACTGGAAGGAGTTAAATGGTTCTCGACTGGTTTACCCTAAAAAGTTGCCTCTAGTGCCTGATCTCCAATTCCTCCAGCAGCATTAGGAAGCGTGGAGTACTGACAGGCAGAGGTGCTGCGTATTGGCTAGGGTGGTCAGCTTAAAACAATCAGTACCTTCACATTAATAAAAAGATACCTTTTGGAATTTAAATAATTTTTTTTGTTTTAGAATGATTGATTATTTCCTTTTGATATTAAGTATAAGGAAAAATGGAGACCATGAGTTATGAGTCATGAGTCATTCCAAGTACAAAATAGAGATTTGACCCCAAAAAGAAAGAAAATAGTCAATGAACAATTAAACATCACCCTGACAAGAACAAAGCTTTCTGACGCGTTCTTTTGTATCTCAGTGCCACTTTCCCCCTAATCCTTGGACCAAGGCTGTTATATTAGTGTAGAGTATGTTGTCAGGAACAACTTTCAGGAAGACATCCATCATATGTATGAGTTGAGCAAACAAGAGGATGAGATGTCTCAAATTGTCAATACTGTGGCTCGTATTTTCTGTCATGTCTCTAAAGTACGAACTGCCACTAGTTGCCCTGTTATGGTCCAATACACATGATTGAGAAAGGAGTCAATGCCATGGAAGTGGTGGGAAGATTATGAATTGACCTCTGTTGACCTAAAGTTCTTTCTAGCATTTCTAAAGTGGAGGTTTTCTGTGTGCTGATATCCTGTCACAGGCATTTTGTGGGAAGTCCATTTTTCCTCTTGCTCCTGCCTCTAGAGTTGGCTAGTCCTCAAACAATGGTGGAAATGGCCAGTTGCAATGCTCAAGTATGGTTTATATCTTTGTGTTGGCTTCCTGAATTGCACCCTTCACTATAAGATGTAGGATGTGTGCAGAACAGCCATGCCAATACAGTCACTGTCACAAAGAGCTTTGACCATTTTAGCAGCCCTGTCAGTAACCACCAATCCAAAGTGCAGATTGGTGACTGTCTTTTCCCCTACATATTCACTCCCAGCTTCACATGTTGCTAAGGTTGGACCTCCTCCAGTGCCCACACCCTGTCCAAGCACTGGGGACTGCCACCAATGTGCCATCAAGGAGAGAAATCAATATAATCACTCCATAACTCTATGGTGAAGTGCACTGACTGACCGATAGCCTTAGCTAGTTGCTCCTTCACTAGTAGCAGACAGGAATGGTACAGTGATGGGACTCTCTTCCTGTTGGAAAGTGAATTGGGAGGGAAGAACATATTGTGGTGCAAGGGCCTATATCAGCTGATTAAAGGGCACCCCTTCTACATGAAAAAGAAGGTGACTCCCTGGAGCGATCAACTAGGCAAGCAGGAGGGTGATTTTGTTTGCCTGATGTTTTGACTTGCCGGTGCATATAATCAAGCAAAATGTACAATTTATGTATTTTCTTTCAATAATACTGACTTATAGTGTGTCTGCATAAATTGGTTCAGACTGGGTGGTGAGGTGACCCTACTCATTTGCTTGCCAAACAATTACACTTTGCAATTTGCTCTTCTAATAGGCTGTTTTTGTAATGCCACACTTTGCTTTGACGCAAATTACTAGCATCAGCCCTTGGCTTTGGGGCCGATGAAGATGCTGGTGGATTTGCATCTTTGGAAGCTGAGGAAACACTAGCCTTTACACTAGCATCTTCCTGAATAATGCTAATTGGAAGAGAGGTGGTTCTGACTCTTAGAGGCCAGGCACTACAGTTGATGGTGGAATAGAGAACATGACCTTATCACTACCCTGCCTCAATTTCTTCATGGTATTACAATAGAACCTTAATGATGGTGGCCCTCTTTTTCTTGTTACTGTAAATATAGGATTTGAATGGTTGTGTATTGTGTAAACTAACACAACCTCGATCAGTAAAAATAGGCATTTGTGTTACAAAATGGCTTAATTCTTGATGGGTTAACTGCTGTAACATTATTGTGTTTGTCATTCAGAAACACAGCACAGTGCTTGAACACTTGCATCCAAACAGTGCATTTAATAGAGTAACAAACAAAGTTTTTTTTTCTTTAGCCAACTGTATAAAACAACATTTAACAACTGTATATTGGTAAACTAATCTCACACTAGGATCAATAACCAATAATTTATTTTTTCTAACATCACGTTCCTCAAAAACTATTTTATTACCTCTGAACACTTAACTAAATATAATAATAATAATAATAATAATAGTCTGAAACATAGGATATTTCATCAGAGTATGCAAAGATCAGAAACTGTCCTCCTATGTGCAGTTGTGATACCTAGAAATAACTGTCATTGTCTTGCAAATAAGGAGAACTTATTTGGACAAAATTAATTCCAAAATGCTTAAATACACATTCTCTCTTAATTGTCTCCTCATTAAATCACTTTTATATAGCTATCCATTTATTTTTTCGTGAAAGGATACTTCTAGAGGTCAAGATTTATCTGGATCTATATTTATTTATATGGATATTAAATGTATTTATTGTGCAACAACCCTTTAATGAATGCATGTGTTGTGTGTGAAAGGGTTAAGCAGAGCATCTTTTTTAAGTGTGACTACACTGTCATCAAAGCAATAAAGTTGATCATTATGTACTAATGCAAAAATAAATTAAGATTATTGCTATCACATTTCATAAATGTGAGCAGAAACTTAATCACATTTCAAGAAATATTGATACCATCAAACTCTCTGTAATGAAGGGAAGCGATAAGCAAGAACAATCTTATAGCTTCCAAAGAGATGGCTTGGATATCTTTTAAAGCTATTTACCATCATAATGTATATATTTATTTATTTTTTCAGTCAACTTATTATATGATTAAAGTCCCACAAGAAAACTTTTAGAACAGACATTAATCCTATGCTCAAGTTAAATCCAATATTACACCAAGATGGCAAGATATTATTGATTTTGTAAAAAACAGAAGTGTATATATAATGGCACTTATTGGGTAAGAAATAAAATTAACAATCAGCAGATGTGGCACTCTGTAGGAACTCCCAAACATATTCCACCTACAAACATCGAAAACCAAATACCGCAATGCTGAAGTGATGGACCACCACCACAAAAAACATCAAAGTGCGAGTACAGCGCTTCAAATATCTAGTTCACACTTACCCATCTATGGATATAGGGTAATTAGTTCTCAATGACATGAAAGAGGAGCAAAAAAAATAAAATACATAGTGCAACAAAGTTAATAAAATTGCATGAAAGTAAACTTGGGTGTATATATGCTTACAGTGTTTTGAGCCTTGTTAGCGATATGGCTCTGAACATACACGTATTAGTACCCTTCTGGTGGCAACTGTACCTCTTTTGATAATCAGGACCCTCCAGTTAAGTATATAAATGAAGTAAAACACAAAGGGAGCAAATAATAGTGAAAAATGCCCTCAAAACAGTGATAAATGAAAGCATAGGTAAATAAGTCTTGCTCACCTTTACCTGGAGCCCATAGAACACTGTCTCCAAATAAGGAGTGGCAATTCCCCCTTTGTTCCAACCCAAGGAAAATAGGATATAAGGCCAGGAGTGAAGTAGGTTAAAATTATTAATCACTTTAATTTAACAAAATAAAAATAAAATAATACATACAAAAAATTAATATCTTTAAATCCTGTTGGCATCTTAAACATGTTTCACCTGTTATGTGGGATTTTTCAATCGGTATAATCCTTTTCCTTGGGGTTATCCCTTTTATTAGGGGAGTTCTTAACTTTTTGTCCATTCCTGCTCGTTCTATTCTTGGGGCACGGTAGGGCGTATTACCTTTTTTCATGGTTTCAATTAGTTTTCCTTCCTGTATGTTCCCCTTTCGTATCGGTCCTGCAGCAAAGTTCCGTTCCATTCGGATGTGAAGTGTCAGTTCCGAATGGAACGGAACTTTGCTGCAAGACCGATATGACGGGGGAACACACAGGAAGGAACACTAACTGAAACCATCAGAAAAGTTAATATGCCCCAACGCACCCCCAGAATAGAAAGAGCAGGTTTGGACAAAAAGTTAACAACTTCCCTAATAAAAGGGATAACCCTAAGGAAAATGATTATACCGATTGAAAAAGCCCACATAACTGGTGAAACGCGTCTCAGAGGCCAGCAGGATTCAAAGATATTCATTTTTTGTATGTATTATTTTATTTTTATTTTGTTAAATTTAAGTGATTAATTATTGTAACCTACTTCACTCCTGGCCTTATATCCTATTTTCCTTGGATTGGAACAAAGGGGAACTGCCACTCCTTATTTGGCAATGTGTGCAAAAACTTGGAGCCAGTATTCTACGGGATCCAGGTAAAGGTGAGCAAGACTTGTTTACCTATACTTTCATTTATCATTATTTTGAAGGTATGTTTCACTATTATATGCTCCCTTTGTGTTTTACTTAATTTATATACTTAACTGGAGGATCCTGATAATCAGAAGAGGTACAGTTGCCACCAGAAGGTCACTCGCACTTTGATGTTTTTTGTGGTGATGGTCCATCACTTAAGCATTGTGGTATCTGGTTTACGATATCATTGATATCTAGCAAGCATTCATTATGTTCAATTGTATTCCTGTTAAAAAGTATGGGCTTTTTTTACACATATATTTATATTTTTTCAACGCAATCTATTTTTTCTAACTTGAGATAAAGGTAATTCTGATAAAAATACCCCTTTCTGTCTCATTAGAGATAATTTTGCCAGAAGCTCAAGGAAGCAAGGCAAATGGTTAGCGTTAGGACCCACTTAAGAGGTCTGCCTTGATGTGGCAGGTGGGCTTGCCCTCTCATGGCCATTGGAGGTAACTAAAAACCTAAATTTGTGTAAAAATACATAGGGATGTGGAAAAGAGTGCAGGTGACTTTTTTCTTTGGTTTTTACTATATGTATTTTGGCTGATGTGTACTATAGTCATTGCTGCCGTCCAGAAGTAATGGGAGTTTGAGTGCAGGACTAGTTTCTTTGTATTTGTAATTCTGATAATTTCTGCCTATTTTCTAACCATTTCTCTATGATGGTCATATACCATATGAGCATCATGTACTTGCCAGTCATCGTTTGTTTGTTTATGAATGTCTGCAGAACACCAACATGGTATATTTTTTCCTAAAAACCTCTTCAGTATTATGGTTAGCGTTTTGACTATGGTTACTTCTTTAATTACAGGACAGCACCAAGACATAAATGCTCTACTGAGCACATAATTAGTGGAAGTTACAAATCTGGTCAGCAGCTTCTCGCTATAATTCTGCTGTTCTTCCTTTAATCATATGTAAGGGTAGCCTTTTATCGGTTAGTGCAGTGGTAACATCACAACCCAGGTTTGAACCTGGTCAGACCCCCTCTACTTTGGCAAGACACCTAATTATATATAGATACAAAATTAAGCCCTGCACTTTAACCCTACTACTCCTGGGTCGGCAGCAATGACCATAGTTTACATCAGCCCCAATACATACAATAAAAAATAACAAAGAATAAGTTATCTGTGCACTATTCCAAATCCATATGCACATTTAAATAACTGGAGTTTTTTTAGTATCACTCCAGTGGCCAAATGTAAGCTCACCTGCCACGTCACGGTAAACCTCTTAGGTGAGTCAGAACTATTCACCTTGCTACTTTCAGCTAAAAGGTAAAATCTCTAATGATACAGAAAGGTAAAATCTCTAATGAGACAGATAGTGATATATTTCTAAACCCCTAAAAACTTTTTAGCCCTTAAAAGGGAGCCCTTAACATTGACGTGGCAGGGGCTAACCTAACGATATATATCTGCCTCATAGTTTGTAAGCCCATATGAGCAGATCCTTCTTCACCTCTAAACATCCCCTCTCTATAATTGAAAAGCAATGCAAAATATGTTAATGCTATAAAAATGCTAATGATAGTAATAATGAGAAACATACAGAGAATTCTCCCGAAACATAGTTTCAAAAGAGTCCAAAAATAAATGGCACTGGCTACAACTTTAGAGTTCATCTCTCACTTATATCAGAGAGGACCTCTTTCTCCTGGCCTTGTCCTCAGATTAGGATTATTGCACTACATAATATATATGTTCTATAACAATATGTATTGAACAATAATTAAAAAGTAACCTAGGGATAGGATATGTCTATGTAACATGATTAGCACCCTTCAGACTGCCGCTAAGTTACCATATATTAAGTACACATATTTAAATGTCTACTTAAACTTTTAAATATTATTTAGTCATTCAATCTATTCAGTTATTCAGTGATCATAATTGAAAGGGAGGAGTTGTGTCACTCAATATGATTTTTTTTTTTTAAATGAGCCAGTATGAAATGAAGGACACATTTTCCAGTATTAGTTATTTGACCTTGCAGAGCAATTGGTAGAGATATCATTCATGCAAAAGATGCAGACTCAGGGTATTCAGTTCATTGGAAGGTCAGGAATTGTGAATGTAAGGGAATAGGTTTGAAAACCAAACCATTCACTTGTCTCAGAAAAAAAAGGCATAAAGGAATTCCACATACAACTAAATCAAGTTACTTTGAAACTCAGCACCTAAAAATGCTACTCATCTACCACTTTTATGATTATATATTGCCTCCAAGTGATTTTGGGAGTTTAAGGCTATCAGTGCTTAGGGAGCAGGGGTTTGGGATCTCTACCTAGAAGACACAGATGTGACATTTTCCAACCTGATCAAAGTCAGAGTCTGTATTTTTGGTGAGTAAGTGAGAAACACCAACAAAAGGAATTGGCAGGGTACATGTTATACAAAAGCTTACAAAGCTTGCAATGTCACAAAAGTGGTTCTTGTTGGAGTTATCTGTGTCATTTCGATATGCAGCATGCTGGTTGCAATATTTGATTTTAACAAGGTTTGGTAACAACTACATGTTAGTCATTCTAGAAAATATGTTCATATCTTAACTTTCTAGGACACATTATGTCAAACTTGTTGCCATATGTTCCAAAGCATGTGATTGTGATTGTTCTGGGGGAAAAAAAAGAGTATTAAAGAAATATTTGACAAATCACTCTTCAATATTACTAAAGCAGTCATGAAACATTAATGTGGCTACTTAAAGTCATCTATCTCAGCAAACAAATAAGAGGATTCAGTTCCACCATATATTGTGTTAAGCCCACTACTATTGCACCCTAATATTGGTGTGTCCTACACTGATTCTAACCTGTTAAACAAATTAAATGATGCTAGTTCTAAATGAGCTAAAGTGTATTTATTAATCTGTTGTAAGAGCATTGTGAATATATATAATGCAAAATTAATGTGAATAAAAAAACAAAATCCAAAAAATACAGTGGCAAAACTAAACAATTAAAGTGACAGTGCTTTGTATATTATGTATTAAATGCATAATATATATCTGCTCCAAATCAAATGAAGGGACGTTGCTATCTAAAACCTCCAAAAATGCCATGTGGTCACCTCCAAAGGTGCATCTGAAGCTGGGGTTTGGGGCGGGATGCTCAACTGGAAAGGAATCTGTATTTCCAAATATTAATCCCCATATTTGTTTTCTGAGATATGTGATTTTAAGTAGTCTTGTAAAATTTCAAAATTTATTTTTGTGTGTGGTGTTCCTTACTCTATATTTTTTATAACTTTTAGTCTCTACTGCACCACCATTGCTGAGAAGTGCATGTTCTGTGTGTCCCCAATTCTGTTTTTTTTCCTTTTTTTTACTGTGAAACTTTTATGTGTCAATTAAACAATGTATTGATTCCAAATCAAATTATTCCCATGAACATTTTACAGTATATTACTTTTTGCATCTTACTTATTAACCATGATAATTGGCCATTCTTGTTTTTCATTTTTTTTTAGATCTTATTTATATTTAAGTTTTTTTCTAGAAGATATAAAAGACAATGATTATATGGAAGATAGATTTCCATTGTCCATGGGCAATAATGTCTCTTGTGTTGTGGTAATGTTTTATATTCCTTTTCTATGGAATGAATCTCTCCAGCTTGTCTTTCTGTTCACCTGATAGTAAATTGGTTGATTACTAATTATGATGAAGTGTGCTATTATATACTACTATACCTTAGTACTCTACAATAAAGTGTTCTCCAACACCACATAAAACTTAGAGGTATACATATCTCAGCTTCTTACTATTCATTTTATAATAGCTGTTACAATACTATGCACTGATGCATCTAAATGTACATATTGAATGAAGTCAAAGCATTATAAAGAAATCCCTATTCAAATTGATACTCTACTAGCAGACTAACACTTTCACAGTGCCACTCCTAACTGTGCCACTCACAGCGTGAGCTCATCATTAGATGTTCTTGCGCTGTGCAGCAGAAAGCTTTAGCAGAACTCTCTTCATTGTTCTCTATGCAGGGGACTGGCCAGGAGGCTATCTGTGGGGCTGGCATGCTGGATTCCAGGCTCAAACGCCCCTTCAGTGGGTGAATAATCCTACTTCTGGGTAGGCACGTCCATTTAGGAGCATCACTAGTGAAACAATTTGTGTCATTGCTGATGCCCTCTCAGAAGGCTCTCTTCCAGGCAGGCCAAAGTTGTGAGGTATGAATTAGAATGGACAAATACAGAGGACGTTATGTACTTGAATGTAATTTGTTTACACATAGTATTATATGCATTTAAAATTTAATTACATAACTTTGTTAGCATAAATGTTGCTACCCTGTACAAAGAATGCCAGAAACTTGTAATTATTAGAAATACTTTATGCTTTTGTAGAGGGCATTTTAATTTACTGCTCTTGTTGTATAAAGGAGAAAGATTGTGCTTACATTAGTTGGCAAGAGCTCCTCTCTTTGCACAGGTCTATTTCAGTACACCACACATTCACAGTCCTCAATAGCTCATTTACTCAGACCATGCTGTAATTCATCATCTACAAGCATATATCACATAC